GCTATGGATGCATCCGTATGCCAATCCAATTATGGCGCACCTCCAAATTTTAATAAACCTTAAACAATCCAATTATGGCGCACCTCCAAATTTTATTAAACATGTACTTTTGGTGTGATTTTTTAAAAAAAATTATATGAAAAAATATTTTTATCTCTAATTATAAAATTTTAAACTTCAAAAATAGTTAAAATCAAGTAGATCTATAAACGTATGAAAATCTTGAAAATGGAAAGTCAAGATAATATGTTACGCAATGCACTACTTTTAGGCACTACTTTTGAGACTCAAAATCTTTTTTTTTTTTTGCATATTCATACATCTCGATGTGGAGATGATTAATTAGAGAGTTTCTCAACATTAAAATAACTTTTTCTAATGGATTTTTGAGGTGCGTCTTTAATTCTACATTTTAAGGTTGTGACCTTTTGTAAACTTTTTCCTACAATAAATATTGGAAAAGTAGAAGGAAAATGTTTATATAGAGTCGAGGCTCTAAACAATCAAATTAGAGCCCACCTCGAAATTTTCACTAGAAGAGATTGTTTTGATGCCCAAATATCTTCAAATTAATCATCTTAGAAACGAACACCATTTACTTTCTTTTCTTGACCTTGAACTTGCAGTGACCTTTTCGAATCCTAATCTCTTTAGAGAAAGCTTTTATGTAGGTATAGGAACTTTATATATGCCAATCTCCACTCACATCTCACATTTGATCTGAATAGATTGTTGATATGGCCTCAATCACAATGTCACTTTTACACTCTTTTTTATTTAAAATTTTTTTTTTTACAAATTATATTGACACCAAATTTAAGATGTCCAATACTCTAATAGGCTCATATATACAAAAAATATTATAAAGAAATCTTTTTAAAAATAACCAAAAGATTCATGAAAGTTTTAGGGGTAGTTTAATCATTTTATTTTCATGAAAATATTTTTTAATTTCTTTTTAGGTGCACTCTATTGAGATGATCATGTCCACCAAATTTCACATTCATCTAATTTGTAGAAAAATCTAAAATAAAATACCGTAAGCCGTTTGATCTAGATTAAATGGTCCAGGCTCACGTGACATTGTGGTTGAAGATATCCAACCATTCGGATCCAACATATGAGAGAGAGCGGTATAAATTAATTCCCTATTCCTAGTGGCGTATAGGAAGCTCTTTAATTAACTTACTCTTATACAAGAGTTAAACGAGGCTCTAATCCGTTAATCCCTATTTTTCATAGGTGCGACTCTATCAGAGGATAGGAAGTCCCAAATTGGTTATAAATATGATTCATATAAAAAATTAAAATAAGATCATTTAGACATGAAATTGTGATTGGGACCATTTTACCAGTCCATTCAGATCAGACCATGGGGAGAGGGGTGGCCTGTATGAATTTCCAATATCAAGTGGCATATGGAAAGCTTTCCCCCAATTTAACCTTTTCTAATTTTTAACTAATTTTTAAAAGCTTTCTGAACTTTTTAATATAACTTTTTTTCATCCTTTTTTAGGTGTACATAACCTGGCCGAGTTATTCTCGTCGGCCAAGAGCAAATCGCTCAGGACTCCGCCAGGGCCAAGAATCGAGTATCTTGGATAAGGCGGTTTCGAAATATTGAACAAATAGCATCAATATATGCCAAAACATAACAATACCCCCCTCAAACTCTAGTTGAACTTAAGAAAACAAAAGTGACACAAAACGAACTCCAAGAACACACAAATTTCAAATTGATGTGAAAAGCTTTCCCCAAAGAACGACTTCATAACATTTGATTCATGGAGCCTATGAATCCTTGATAGAAGCAAGTATAAACATGGCCATGGGTTCAGAGCTGGCCACACTGCAATGAGCACGGGCCTAAGGTTGCACCGAGAAGCTGAACCATAATTCTCAATCACTATAACGGCATCTAAACCCTCCACCACCTCACCAAAACTGGCTTCAAATCCTAGTCCATGGCGTTGTTACACATGACATTGAACTGAAAGCTATTGGCATGGGACTCTATTTTCTTCTTAGCCGGCATCTGAAGCCCAAATGCATCTCTTGGAACTTACAGGCATAAAGTAGTAGCCGTCTATCGACTCACCAACGGTTCGATTGCCCTGAGTGTTGTCACTACTTATGCATAAAAAATCAGTGGTAACAGTGAAATGGGGGAGCCATAATAATGGAGGGATTTCTGAGATTGGCTCTTGGCCCTCTCCCTGATTCATGAATCCATGAAGTATTCTGCAGTCCTTTAGGGCCAGAGTTTCAAACAGCTCCATCATAACCCACTCACTTTAGTGCTAGTGATCATTAGGTCGAAGAAAGGATATGTTGATGGAATAGGTAGCACTGGTCTTATTTCCTCCAGAGTTCTAATGGCAGAACACAGTTATCAATTGTATTAGTGGGGAGAAGAATGGGGAGTGGAACCTTGCTTCTTGGTCTGGTTTCTCTCTTTAGTTGCATCTCAAATTGTGCCGTAAACACGATTCTTAATTGTCTGAGTTATGCGTGTACTGGGCTTGAAGCAAATGGATAGTTATGGTTTGCTTTCCCTTCCTGAAGAACAAGAATGCATCTCGGTCTAACTTTGTTTATCTGACATGAAAGAGAAGGTTAAAGATTGTAGCCATTTTGGGCTCTTCATCTTATGAGGAAACCCTTGGAACGTGAAGCTATAAGCTACTCCACAAGTTTAGTGTGTGCTGTTAGGTAGAAAAGCATGGTTGGAACCTCAAAGCAAAGCCTAGTGACTGAACCTTAGGGATTCAGATCATTTAGCCATTCCCAATGTAAGTTGAAGACGTTTGGGCTATCCAGCAGGGGTGGCAACGGGTCTGTTCGACCCATAAGTTGACGACGTCTTGACTATCCATTGGGGTGGAATGGGTTCCCGACTAGGAATAATATGGACCCGGACCTTGGTCTGGTCCAAGACATTTCGACTCAGACCCAACTCGGGCGATTCCTTGGTTTTGGACAACATGGACGATTCCCTATTGGGCGCGGCTGATACGGATTTTTTTTTGTTTTAATCAATGATTAAGATACCATTTTTCAACCACTGATGCAAAAGACTGAAACTTGTTGATGATTCATGTATAAACAAACACATCTTGGTCATAGATAAGATTGTAAGCATGGACAAATTCACACATTTTAGTCAATAGAAAATAGAGGCCATAACAGCTAAAACCTCGTATCCATAAAACTCCCAAAAGTAAAAAAACTTGCAGTATTTACAAATTTACACTAAAAAACAGAGAGACTTGCTGTATTTTATAATTAGACATGATCTACATCAAGATAATTATTCACAATCTGCATCAAGGAAGAAAGAAAAACCAAGCTACCTCAGCAATTGCAAAGCGTCCATCAATAAAGCTAGGGGAAAAAAAAGCCACAAATCCTAACAGCAGAGGAACGAGCTCTTGGCTTGGTTGTTATGTCTTCAGAGCTGGCCACAGTCCGCGATGAGAACGGGCTTAAGGATCTCGCCGGAAGGCAATCCGACCTTCTCGATGGCCCGGACCACATCCAGCCCCTCCACCACCTCACCAAACACAACATACTTGCCGTCTGACGTAGTGTCCTTGTTCATGCATATGGCGAAGTTGGAGCCATTGTTATCGGGCACCCCTCCGGTAGCCATACATAGAACCCCGAAGCCTTCGTGCTTTTCCTTGAAATTCTCGTCCTTAAACTTCCCACCATAGATTGATTCACCACCAGTGCAATCGCCACCTGAGCAGAACTCTCTCGGAAAGATTCTATGGAATGAAGAACCCTGGTAATGGAGGCGCTTCCCATTAGGGGCTTTACCCTTTTCGCCGGTGCACAAGGCCCTGAAGTTCTCTGCGGTAATTGGAACCACGTCGGAGAAGAGCTCCATTACGATCCGGCCGGCTTTAACACCGCCGATCGTGATATCAAAAAAAACCCTAGGGCCCCTATAGGTAAAAGGCAACTCTCGTATTTTATCAATGGCATGCTCTGGTTGTACTTCAATAGCGATATGACTACCACTGTCAATGCTGAGTTCGAACAGATTCCTAAGGTCTGCAGCTGTTGGTTCCTGCTCTGAAAACGTCTTTGTGTGATGGATCTCCTCTTCTTCGACTCGAATGCGGCATCGCTTACCGTCACCAACCCTGAGATTGAAGGAAACCCTAGGGATTGTGGAAGCCATTCCAACTCAGAAAATGAGAGAAGAGAGTACACCACTCGCTGCTCAAGAAGGGGAAGAAAGTATTCTTTACACTGCCAAAGGAAAGCAACTCTGTCTCTGTATCCCGGCAATGAATCTTTTCAAGTGGCCTTTTAAAGATGTTGCTCACTGCTTTTTCTTTTTTTCTTTTCTGTTTTTTTTCTCTTTCTTCACCATGAAGACACCTTTTCTAACCCATTAAAAAGGGTAAAAGCTAGACTAACGATCCGAGTCTTTCACTCACACTGCAGGAGACTCTTCTTATCGCAGGTTAAGAACCTCAAAATGATCACTTTTAAATTTGACATCAATATCTAAAAAAAATTATCACATGAGTTTGAGATTTAATTTATTTAAAAATCCACATCAAATTTAATGATGATTGTTTGATTCTACACATATAAATGAGAGATGTACTTTGGATCATTTTTCAAAAGTTTATATAAAGCTAAGGTTCTAAACAAACAATCAAATTAGAGTCTATCTCAAAAATTTTATTAAAAGAGATTATTTTGATGTTCAAATATCCTCAAACTCATCATCTCAACATTAAGATGCATGGACAGGAGAAAAAAATGTATTTCAAGTTTTGAAAGTAATGTATTTTGTAAAGCATTTTTGATCGTCAATTTTCAAGATTTTCAAATTTTCATAGATCTATCGATCTACACTATTTTTAAAACTTTAAGCTTTATAAATAAAGATAAAAATATATTTCAATATTAAAACTGCATTTCTCGATATTATTTCAATGTAGGCTTTAATTTGATTGTTTAAAGCCTAAGCTTTATACAATCCTAGCCCTTTAAAAAATAGAGATCTATAGATAACCTGTAACCCCACTATTAACGACTTTTTTTTGTTATTTTTTTCCAATTTCCCACGCTCTACTTTAGCTGTAGTCTGCCGGACAAAGCCAGTCCGGTATAAATGAGGCCAACTATACATTTTTTTTGTGCCGAACGGCTCTATGTTTAATTTGTGCTGATCCCATGCATTTTTATGTCGGATTGGCACAACTTGAACAAAATTCATTTTTTATCCGACCAACTCTATATTGAATCAATGTAATTAAATTTTTTTTGCTTTGACCGAAGAGGCCAAAATCTTCGGAATTTCTATCTAGGGTCCTAGATCGAAGCAAAACGAAGCTCTAGTACATAAGCTCTGGCCGCCCGCTTCGATTTGATTCAGCCTCTTCGGCAATTCGCAGAATTGTCTTTTTTTAAATAGAATTATATGCTTGGTCAGCTTCCGTTAGATTCAGACTGCCGAACTTCGGCCTCTTCTACCGAAGCCAAGAAATGCCTTTTTTAAATTAACAAAACCAGAGAGATGGAGAACTACAGAGAGATATAAACCTTCTAAAATGAGATATTTACAATACTAAAAAAAGTCATATTTGCAAGCGGGTGAGAAAATGGTGACCTGAGAACCAACTCTATTCAACAAAACCCCATCACACAATCTTTGCAAATTCTTAGCCACTTGTTCTAAAGGTAAAACCTTAAAGCCCATTACTGTAGAAGGCCGCCATGTCCACATTTGCCCCCAAGTCCACCACAATGCCCATTTTGCCTCCATCCCACCCAAAATTTCCTGATTTCTAAGGTATATCAGGCTTCCTAAATGGCTTAACCTTATGCGATATCATTATATTTCTATGGGACACTTTCAGGAATTTCAAGATCAACGAGATTACAGGAAAGGGTACTTTAATCCCTTGATTATGTTTGCAAATACCCGCAAAGATGGGGGACATTTTGGCAATCAAAGGGAGGAATTGGGATTAGGGTTAGGGTTAGGGTTAGGGTTAGGTTTAGGTTTGGGAGTTTTGGGTTGGGTTGGGCTCGGGTTTGAGAAAAGGAGAAAGATGAGGAGGAGACAGAGAGGGATGAGGAGAAGAGCTTTGGAGTGAAGGTTTCTCTCTCGTCCTAGATCAAATTCTAGGCTTTGGGCTTTTTGCAGTTTTTGATGTTTTATACATCGAAAGTGAGAGAACCGACCGAAATGTCCTCCGCTATATAAACGTATTTTTTAATTTTTGAAATTTTTATTTTTAATTTTTATTAATTTAATATATTTATATATGAATATCTAAATCATTTATATTAAATTTAAAAAATCCGAACTCTTTTCCTCGAATCGGCCAAAGTACTGAATGGTTTTATTTTTTTGATCAAATTGAAGAAGACACCGAAGTAAATATAACTACATTGTATTGAACTCGTGCTGAGGACCGACCCATGTGGGGTACCAAATTTTGGAAAAGTAGGTTAAAATGGGGATGTGCTTTGGTCGAAAGAAAATGAGCTATTTTATTTGGAGAGAGTTGCAAAACAAAAAAAAAAGTGATGGGTTAACAGTGTTGTCTCAAAAGAGTGATGCCTACACAGTATAAATTGGGGATATTTATAAGTTTCTCTAAAAAACCGGAGTGGACCTATGTTGCCCAATCGAAAACTGGTGAAGATCGGCAGTCCGACCAAGTGGATAGGTTGATGAAATATAAAAAAAAAGAACAATATTTTAAAAAATAAAAAGGTGGGGATGTTTAACAAAACCGACCAGTTCTATATGTGAACCAGCTAGAATCAATAAGTTTCAATTATTTAGTATGAACCAAACAAGTCCCACTGATTAGCAATCTAGATTGAACGATTTCAATCCAGCTCGTTGTTTTTCTAACCCTAATATTTTAAGAGTTGTTCGGGACCTGGATACGAAAGTCTTGGATATGTAGTGAAACCTATGTATGTTAATTATAGCATATATAAAACCTGGTTTTAGCAAGAATGAGTAGTTTCTAGAAGAACTCATTATATAACAAATCCCATGCTGGGCTGCATTAAGTTGAAAACCAGGTTTTGGTAGTTTGCTATTTTTTTTTTTTTGACAAATATTTTGGTAGTTTGCTATTAAACCAGTTTATTCATGGCAAATAATTGTTAATATACCTTAAGTTTAAGAAAATCACAAAAAAAAACCCATCTTCCCAAAACCTTGTCCACACCCTTTTTCCCAATTTCAGTATTTTCTGGACGAAAATATCATTTATGGGTAGTCTTCTACCGTAATGAATTGCGACCATTATGGTAATTAAAATATCGTTGTAAATAGAGATAGAACTACGGTTCTTCTAGTACCGTAATAACATAAACATCTATTACGATACTTTAATTACTGTAATAACATAGAGTATTACGCTAATTAAAATACCGTATACTCTAAAGTAGTATTACGGTAATATAAGTACCGTAATATTGCCCAACTCAACACGAAAGATTTTTTTACTCTCTCGAGCCTACTATTTATTTACTCTCTCGACAAAAATCCACGCTAGCTGTAATTTTTCAAATCTAAAATTTCTAGGATATAATCTCTTCTTAATTTTATATGGTTCTCAAAATTTTAGAACGAAAACACCCTTAAATGGGTGTTTTTGAGCAAGGGAGTAGATCCACATTGTGCTCCCATGGGAACTTCTGGTACCGTAATACTTTAAAACTTTAAACCAAAGCTAATATCAGGGCTACCCTTTTCAAAAACTCTATGTTCCCATGGGAGCACGATGTGGATCTACTCCCTCACTCAAAAACATCTATTTAAGCGTGTTTTTGTTCTAAAATTTTGAGAACTATATAAAAATTAAGTAGAGATTATATCCTAAAAATTTAAGATTTGAATAATTACAGCTAGCGTTGATTTTTGTCGAGGGAGTAAATAAATAGTACGCTCGAGAGAGTAAAAAAATCTTTGGTGTTGAGTTAGGCAACATTACGGTACTTAAATTACCGTAATACTACTTTAAAATATTACAGTATTTTAATTACCGTAATACTCTATGTTATTACGGTAATTACAGTATCGTAATAGATGTTTATGTTATTGCGGTACTAGAAGTATTGTAATTCTATCTCTATTTGCAACGGTATTTTAATTACCGTAATGGTCGCATTGCAATACGATAGAAAGACTACCGTAAAGGGTATTTTCGTTCAGAAAATGCCGAAAATTGGAAAAAAGAGAGTGTGGGCGAAGTTTTAAGAAGTTTGAGATTTTTTTTCCGATTTTCTTAAAACTAAAGTAAATTACCGATAATTTCCCTTTATTCATTTATAAGTTGAGTACATAATGAAAGAAAGACCTATGTAATCGTTTGCCGAGGAAATACAATTTTTTTTTTTTAATAATAATCACTCCTTATAATTTTGGCAACAAGATCACTCACAGATGGTCTTATTACAAACAATAGAAATTCTAAAAATAAATAACACATCAATAAAATAAATCTCAACTACTTGATACCATTCATATAACCTAATACTGTGCTTGAGAATATAAAATAAAAGAATAAACAATTAAAAGAAAAGATACCGGAGATTACCTCAACTGGGGTTTTTGCACCCCACACCGAGTCACCACATCCAATGGCGCGGGATCAGCGGTCTAGCTTCAACCTCGAACGAGGAAAGCTAATTTCGGCCAAACTAGGTAACCACCCTTAAATCTCTATAAAACCCTAACTGTAAAATAATTAGTCTCAAACCCTAATTTTTTCAACCCTTAAATTAGATCATGAGAGAGAGAGAGAGTCTCTATGTTAGGGCGTGCCCCTAGGGTCTTTTTAGGAGAGAGAGAGTAGAGAAAGAAAATCAGAGAGTAGAGAGAAGGGCGTGGCCCTTAAGGAAGAGAGACAAAGTTTATGGGAGAGAGAGGTGCGTGGAGATGGGGGGAACACCCCTATTTATAATGAAATTTAGGTCTAGGTTTCTCATAGTTTGTCTCTTTCTTGAGATTAAATATAGACCGTTGATCAAGGTAAATTGTGGGGTGAGAGATCTAAGCCACCTATTCCATAGATAGGCCATCAACATTATGGAAGGTGCATGAACCATTATTCCCCTTTTCTTAAACCATTTTCCCATCAATATATTTAAATAAA